ACAGAATAACCCGCCTCTTCCGTCCGCCCCATTCCTCTCGACAAAAGAAAAAATGAAGAAGACGAAAGAAAGAAAGAAAGAAAAAACTCAATGCAGGCAACAGGCACTTCCCCTACTACAGACCCCATGTTACCCGCCAAAAAGTACGCCATTACTTTATTATACGTTGTGAAAACATTGCCTTGGCCTGTCTGCAAAACTATAACCTGATGCTGTAGTAGGAATGTAGTGAGAAATAGATTTATATCTAAGATAGAAAAAGTGGCAAGAGAATGAAGAAAACTATACAGGCCTAACAAACATCTGAATACGGCGATTATGCGTAGATGAGAAAAACACAAAATGTTAGTAGTCACACCACATCGAAGACCTGGACGTAAAAGGCAGGGTAATATTAAAATGGTTCTTACATCAACGGAGTTCATGATAAGGGAGACGTACTGCATGTTAATCGAGGTCCGTTCGATGCGCCAATCACTTGTTATCGCTATTAAAACGGATGCTAAATAATTAATTGATGTTTGTTGTTTCACTTTCGTAAAAAGAAATGCCTTAACAAAGTTGTATATTTTTCGAAGATTTGTCACCAAATGTCATTTCAGGATCCTATATATTACTGAAGGTGCGTACACACCCGTACAATTCATCATTTATATTTGATGACACATAATCAGAGTTACTGATAAAGTGTCAGCAAAAATTAAGGAAAAGTGAAAATTATCTGTTGGTGATTTCATTTACATTACACATCAACTTCGAGCAGGATATCGGTGGCCTTCCAGTAGACCTGACATAAATCACTACGAAATTCTCCTTTGGGGTTACCTTAAGGAAAACATTTTTCCAAACAAAACAGCCTCGATAATGAAACTGAGGGCTTTGATTGTTCAAATGTGTGGTGGAATTACGGAGGATATGTATCGTCGAGTGGTCATGAACGTATCCATTCGTGTTTTGGAATATGCAACACAGAACGGTGGTCACACTGAGCATGTAATCCATAAAGGATAAATTCCCATGAATTGTTGTCTTCATATATAAACTAACCATTATACGAAACATAAAAGCTTTTGTTTCAACTTTTAATCGGGCATCATTTCGCGCGCCACCCTATAGGAACAAATCTGAGGAGACAAAAATATCTGGAAGGATATGTGGGCCAATTGTCATGTGATTGAAGTTAATTTAAAACTAAGTCTGTCTGTTCGTTACAGAGAACTGAGTCACTTAAGGAACCACTCCAGTCAAAGGAATTAATTAATGAACACTCACTCACAACGTCACGATTTCTTTTACAAGGCCATTAAGTTATTATGCAGAGCATTTATCATCAATGGGGACTCTCAACTGGATTCAATTCACACCTACTCACGGATTTATATTTCATTGTGGCAACAAGTGTTTGTACAGTCCTATTACTTATCATAGCATTCAGTCTGCGCAAGAGGAGAGTGAACTTAGGAGTGGTGGGGAATGTAGAGAAAGACAAGGCGATGCGATGTGTGAGTAGCAAAAGAAGAGGGCTGTAGCTACTGAAATGCTTCAAAACTGGCACTACACCTCCCCTTTGTCAGTGTTCTATCTTGTCTCGTAGATGGCATACAAAAATAAGTATCACCACGCTTAAATCCGCACTCGACACACTTCATACATAGCTATCAGCAAACTGAACCACACACCCCCTTAAATTAAAATTTCTCACACGCACCAAAAGAACTACTAAAGCGTATACCAGGTCAGAGCAAATCGGAGAAGAACCTGGGAATCTTATAAACGACTAAGGACAATCCACCTGACTGGTATCCGAACGGTCTCTGGGTCGAATCCAAACACTCCCAGACTAGCAATATTTTAATTATATTCTTGAAAAAAAGAAATTCATATTAAAGAAGAATACTCTTTGCAGACACATTTCCTTACGAAACACAGCTTTGAAACATATTCAGGGAAGAGGCGAAGAGTTATTTCTATCCGAGAAGTCACTGCTCAGTCCATTATTATTAACAAATTTAAAATATTTCATCTAATTAACAAGAAAATGAATAAGGTTGATGGTGGGGCTATAAGCGACGAAATACCTCGTATTTCTAAAGAAATTACATGCAATTATTCGTGTAGACCGAGTTATTGTTTGTTGTAAATACAATGTGCAGCCCGTTTCCTTGCAGAACGAGCATTGTAATGTAATGTTATATTCGCAGTTCTGCATTGATTTGTTTCCAGAATTTCGTAAGGTGGAGACCAGTGATGTGATCAATCCTGAATAAAACTACCGCACAGTTACCACACAGAAACTTAATGACCTGGAATCTTATATTTGAAAAGTTTGAGGATGACTATTGGACTGAAGGTCTTTGCAAGTCAGTGCTCCCTATTGTGAACTGATTCAAGTAATCAATAATTACTAACTACAGACATGTGAAGATAGCTGTCTTCTGGGATGTTGCGCCGTGTAGTCTGGTACATACTGGCCGAGGTAAGAAAAGTGTTTACTGTTTCCATCATGAGGGCGATGAGATATGTGACTTTTTGAAGTAAAACTATGAGCAACCTCTCCATTTTATATTATGAAGGCAATCAATTCAGGGAGGATGAGACAGGTAAGACACGCTACACACACGGAAGAAATTAGAAATAAATACAGAATTTTAGTGGGAAAACCTGAAGTTAGGAGAACTATTGTATTGAATGTTTAGGAGGATCTTAGAGAACAGGTTGTGATGATGTGCACTGGATACATCTGGCTGTGGATAGAGATCAGTGGCGGATTTTAGCAAAGAAGGTGTTGAATTTTCGGTTTCAATAAAATGAGGCAAATTTCTTGACTAACTGAGCAGCGATTAACTTATCGAGGGAGATAAACGGATTGTTGAAAGGTTTCATCGCATGAAATTAATGATTTGTTTCATTGGGTATACGTCCTCTGTAGATCACATAAACAGATTAGTTAAAATTAGAAATACAGACGAATTGTGTATGAACTCATGAAAAAAAATAACGCTTTGCAAAGCGCGCCCTCTAGCGAATATCAGGACGTACTGTGTTGTAGGTTTGAAGTAAAAGATGGCGCGAGAGTACAAGTTGTGATTATACGGAGTTGTGAGAGCACCTCATGCAATCTGAAATGGGAAACTGTCAGCACAAATGCGGGTAGTGGGGGCTTATCTCACAAAAACGCGTCTCAAATCGGTCTTGGGAAAAATTAATTCTATTGTGCTATGGCTTCAGGGGGGGAGGGGCGAAATAAGAGATGGTCTAAGGACAAGCAATAAGGAACACCGAAATGTACGTTGCGACATAACACGTCTCTAGTACTGAATTAAATTCAGAATTTCTTATATGTTCATTGATCTATGTAATAAAAGATTATTCATTTGCACATATTGTTATTATTCTGTAATAGGCCTAGTCTAGGTAATTTTTTAAAAGTAATTTAACAAATTGGCAAACTGTTGTTAAAATAAGAAAGCTACACAAGTAAATTTAACTAATAAAGTTTTATTTTTATGTTCGTGTTTTTATAACATTTCATTTATATTTTTGTTTGGATTATGGGAAGATTTAGTTAAGTACTGCTTATTAATTACTTATACACACACATATATATATATATATATATATATATATATATATATTACCGCTCCCAGATATTGTTCATCCTGATATGGGTCCTCAATTAACGCAGGATAAAACTGAATAAACAATCAGCGTCATTGTCGCATGTTGCTCCGAGAATAGATGCATGAGCGCAACTTCAAATACCCGGAAAGATGGTATTGGTCCGGGGTTTTCTCACACAGCGTTCTATCCCAGAGACTTCTTCAATGACTCGACTCATCTTGTGACCTCCAAATCATCCAAGAGTCACAAGACACCAACAATAGCTACGGGCCTGCAGTGTTACACTAGGGTAATCCCCTGCGTCCTGGTGGCCTGTACTGACGTCACACACATGAATCACGACGAGCCCAACGCGGAAAACGTTCTCCGACAAACGTCATCATCACGCGGAAAGTATAGATACTTCACTGCGGAAATTTCAAAAGACCCCAGTCATTTGACAAACAACAAAGGGTAGAGTAGACAGATGAAACAGTCGGGAAAACGTGGGCTATGTTCCTTCCACAGTCACAGAACAGGCCGTTTCTTAGAAGAACAGCGAACGCCTACGTCCCGGTCAAAAGCTTCCTTGTCTGGTGCAAATTATTAAAGATAGTAACAACCTAATCTCAATGATAAGGCGTCAAAATCCTCTTTCCTTTTTTCTTGCAGAATTATAATTAAATTTTTTCCGTGTGTCTTTTGAATTATTTCTGTATGCAGCAATATCTTCAATTCTGTTACCGACCTCAAGTCTCTCACGTAATTAAGCGTTTATTTTCTTATCTAAACGTGTACGTGCAGCTATGTTAACAACATAATATTCACGCATAAATATACATTAACAACTACGGCAACATATGCGACTAATTAATGTATATTCGTCCTACATGTCGGAAAATACAAATATAAAAAACTTTACTCTCGATGAAAGGAAGAAAGTGGGTTGGCTATCGATGATATTTTGAAAGTGTGGTAAGAAAACTGCCTTCAGACATACCGTAATTAAAAGCATCAGATACATTCTTCAAAGATACACTTTTAAAGAGATTTTCACATGTTCGACGGCCCGATTTCAGCAAGCACGTTTCAATTTTTAAAATAAACACATAAAAGTGAGGCTGTAACTGTTCTCAGCTTTTCTGCACGATATTCGCTTAAATTTCATCTAAGAATCCAACGTTGTGGGTATGAGAACTGATCAAAAGGTAATTGTACATGCGTAGGAAAGAATCAAACCCAGTCCCACGGAAAGGGAACGGACCACCAGATAAAGTTCCTCGCTTTCTTTCACGTAGACATGACGTAATTGTGACAAGTTCTGTCTTTTTTCTTCATGTGATCGATTCCACGAAGTCGGGGCATTCTGCAATTCTGTTTTTCGCGTAATTCAGGGCAAGGACTCGGCTGTTCCTTAACAATATTATTTTTTAAAAGCGTGGGTGTACTGTTACATGACTGACGGGCGCAGAGTGGTGTGGGTGGTAGTTGTGGTTTCCGTCATGTGAGGGCGGATGCATCGCCGCTCTAGGTGTTGCTCTGGACTCAGGAACAGTTTCCCTCTGCGCTCCATAGCGTTCGGTATTCTTGCTCGATCACTGTTACTCCCCCAATACTTCAGATTTAAAGGAGTGTTCAGCGAACAGCACACACAGTTTCGCACTCTTGTCCAACAAAATCAATTCTTTTTGTCTCTCACAAATTACGTCAATCTTTAATCAAATTCTCGGTTATATCGTTCAATCGACACGACGGGGCAAAATTGTATTTACTTTTCTTCAAAAGAATCACCACGTTGGAAGGGAAAATCTTTTCGGTTGTTGGAAACTTTTTCTCCACTTCGCCTTTGGTGAATCAACTAAAGGAACTCATGGTAAGTAGCTGAAAACATGACAAATTAACATTTCTTCACTGCCAATGCTTTCTAACTTTTTGTAAAATGTAGTTTCCACAAGAGAGATTCAATGTTTCAAACCTCAAAATTTTAACACACGATATTGATTTCTGCCAAGCAAATGATAATTTTACTGTTATTTTATCAAGAAGGAACAGAAGCCAGTTCTGAAATTAAATCATAGAATTAAATATTCTATCACTGACAATTTGTAAGCTGTTCGCTTATCTTTCATAATGCCCCTTGCATCATGTCACGTTCTCGGATTTCTAAATGTGTATATATCTAACTATTTTATTTGTTTGTTTCTAAAATTTATTATACTTGTCTAACCATTTCCGTGCTACAAACGATATATTTCGTCAAAAACACGATCTAATTTACTTTTATTATATTTCCAACAGTTACTGTTGCATGTCAGTTTAGTTGTGCTATATGTGGAAATTATAAGTTACTGCAAGATTATGAAAAGTAAAGAAGACTTATTAAAATAATATTAGCATGGAATGAGTTGATTATTTGTGTGATGCATGTTTCGTAATTGCTAAGTCGTTGTAAACCATTTCGGCATGTTTATTTTTCATCTTGAAATCTCACAATATTATTGTTTATGAAAAATGGTTTTTAGTAACGTTATTGTCCGTAACTGAGTAAACAAATTATTTACATATTTGGAATACATGGCTTATATTCTGAGTGTGCACGATGTGTACGGCATTTACCAATAAAAATGAAAAGAAACGTCGACTAGTAAGTCTCTGCACTTTCTCTAATAGGAATAGGACCTATTTCCGTGACGCTCCTGCAGTCGCCTTTCTAGGCTCTAGGCTCTAGGCTCTAGGCACCCTATAGGGCAAGAACATTACTAATGCCGTGGCAGTGGCGATTTCAAGATCACACAGCCTCTGATTGTTAGTTAATACTTCTACAAGACAAACCCATTTAGGCGTTTCGCACCAATTTTTTTAAAAAATGCGCCTGTTAACTTTGCCTTGTCTGTCTGTTCGTATGTAGCAGCTCGAGAACGGCTTAACAAATTGTCATTACATTTGATGTCGGTTATTTTTATTAAAAATGTGTCTATACACCTCAATTTTGATTTCGAACGGACAACAATAATAGACATTACATGCGCAATTAACGGCAGTGATTCCGTACAGGGGGATTGCCAGTCGGCCGCGGAACCACGTTGAACAATCGTCCGTAAAGACGTAATTAACCCCCCCCCCAACACATCAGAAAAATCGGACATCACTGGTGCCATTCACGAACGTCAAAGTTCAAATTTTGGAGAACTGTTAATTAAACTATGCGTGTATTTCCTAATTTGTTGAAATATTTTTATCAATTAAACCCGGATGTAGTCATCGTGCACGTGATTATGAAGCTGATTTTAGTGTTACTTGCATATGTATGTTATTAATACTGAATGTGTGCTCGTTAATTTTCTAAGAGTGCCCCACAGAAGAAATGTTGGTTATTCCGTACCGAGCTTTCACATAAAGAATATGCAACTAATGGAAAGTGAGACATCGTTTATAATAAGGTCGCAAATTATTCACAGTTGTACGGATAACTCTTTTCTTCATCTGAGGCAGTCATGTGTACTCAGATACTTAGCCGACCACCATAACTTGTGTGAATGATAAGTTGCCTGCCATGTGCGGCGTAACAGTATGTGTGGACAAGACCTCTTGCTAATCTAATTTTGCAGCTTTGCATTGTACATAGCTATTACATTTCGAACGGTAGCATGTGTATCCTTGGAACATGAGGTTACTAAAAAGCTTCAGAAGAAGTCTTCATCTACATTTATCCATACGAAGATATAAAATGTCTTACAGATCCGTCACCACGACTGTTTCCAGCTTCCTGGAATTTGTGGACGTGCAGCATGCATGAGATGAGAGATGTATACAAAAAAAAACCTGGGGGTATACTGAGTCGTAAATATGAGAATGATATTAAAATGAATCTTAAAATGGGTGAAGACTGGATTCATTTGGCTCAGGATAGGGTCCAGTGGCGGGCTGTTGTTTATAAGATAATGAACCGTAGGGATTCCGTAAAAGACGAATAATTTCTTGATCAGCTGAGATACTATCAATTTATCTCAACTATTTTACTCCATGAAGATGGGTAGATAGTTTTTAGACCTACTTCGGAATTTCTCTGATGAGACGAACGTTTGAGAAATTGCTGTAGATGGTATATGAAACTCACTCGTATCTCTGCATACTTTACGGCAAGTCTCAGACTAGTTAAATCAGTGACAGGAGAATACTTCCAGCTACGTTTCAGTATCTCACAAATGCAGGAACATGCAGAGTGGGCAAGTTCCTCGACAATGCATTCGGAAGACCGTTGGATCGATCCCACGGGCTGGATATCCTGTCTCGACTGTGCCATTTTCCTTCAGAATTTCCAGTCGAATGCTGAGGTAAGTCCTAGAACCGGGTCACGAACTCTTCTCCGCAAATCTCTTGCCCATTCACCATTATAATCACGCTATTTGACTCCAACCAGTCGCCTTCGCTGTTACATTATCGTTAAATAGCAATCGATAACTAATTCACGTCGTACCAGCATTTAAGCAAAACCCAAAACATCATACACAGAGTAAGTTACTTTACGACCGAACTACTTAACGTTCTAACTTCGGTAATTTAATTGGAAGAGCTGTGTCAGTACATTTCATTGTAGGTCATAAAAGTAATTCTACGCAGGGTATAAACGTCACAGAGAGGCAAAAGTAATTTAAATAAATTAGTGCCACGACAACACTGTGTGATATTTAATACCTGTAATTAATGTCTACTAATTTCCGTCACCGTTAAATCACCTGTAGAATAATCTAATTATTTGTGTCGTATTTTGTCTCGTAAGCCGAAACAAGCCTGGGCTCTGAGATACGGTTAGCTGTAGTCCCAATACAGACTGATAATACGGACCTACATGCACGTTCACAGAAATAGAAGACATTGACTTACATACACATGCCTCACATTATATAAATACATAATATATTCATGCATACATATTTAGACTGTACACAGATGACATGCATTTCTACACGGTCAACATTTTATAGCACGGGTGGACCGAGACAGCAAGGCCAGTACTGAATTACAAAGGACTGGAATATTGGGTTCGATCCTCGATAGGGCAATTATTTATTTCCTCGACAACACGTCCACCAAGCCTCACAATCAATAGGTACAGCATGATTCTCCTTAGAAGATACAAAAGCAACTAGTCTAAACTCAGCCTAGACTGAGAACACGTGGCGCTTTGCCTCCACTCCCCAAACGCCTTCACGACGTATTACATGTATTTAAATTACGCACAAATGCAAAACGAGCAAATATAAGCCTATGAATACAGAGCCTTGCACACACATACACATTATTCACAGGTTGCTGGTTGTATGTTACAAACGACACGAAACGTAGCATTGTCTTGTTTGGACTCAACAAAGTACTACAGCAGCCTTTGTTTTAAGGCTTGTAGCAGTCGAATTTCGCCAGACGAAAATCAGCCGGATTTGATGGAGAAAAGAAACACCCGAACATCGGGCCCGGTCGTGCAGTTAATATAGTTCAGAACCCATTGTAACGCCACGTTTAATCACATAACAGGGAAATAAAACACTCAGGGGCTGCTCGAGAGAACTCCATTTGTTCTTTTGTGTTCATTGTCTGAGCCGTCCGTTGTGACGAGACAGAAGAGCAGTTGTTTCTATGATAAATAAAATTAGCATTCTGTGAGTCCATGTTACTCAGCGCGATATACTTGATTCTCCTCAGTATAACCATGGTACTGCAAAAGCAGTGTCTTTTGAGACATATCGGATGAGGCAAGGCCCGATGAGAACTGGCGCAGACGTCAGGACCTTGCCACGGAACGCAACACGCAGAGCGTCTCACAAATTAATTTATCGAAGAAGCCCATGATTAACAAAACACACTAGATGATGTCAAAATGGTAGTACATGCAATAGATATGCTGGATGTGCCAAATACAGGAAATGTGTGAGCGAGGCAATTCAATTAATTTTTACCATGTTTTTGAATCGATGTAATCACACTCCCCGTCCCTTCTTAGCACCTTAATTCACCCATTTCTGTGTATTAGGGGGGAAATTATGGGAGAATGTCTTATAAAAGAGAGAAGCACGCGTTGTCAGCCTTGTCAATATACGAAACATCATTTTCTCAGTTTATAAAAGCCGTAGGAAATAATCCTTTGAATTATAAAACCACAGAAGTAAGAAAACATTATGGTTCCTTAGTTTTATGTGTTGTATGCACCATGACTGTTTATCCGTCTGTCCGCACGTTTAGTCAACAAAACTATTCAGAACTCAGAATTTTGTGTTAGTGGTCTACAAAGTAAGTTGTTGGGAAATTTTGTTTTTTTTCCGTATCTGTCAAATGAAACCGCATCTTTTTAAGCCTATATTCCGCACTCCGTTCTCAAAGTGACACACACTTCATAATCATACCCGAGTGTAGGTGCGCTTATCTCTTGTACCTCAGCAAGTAATGTTATCTTATGCTTGGGAGACGAAATATCAAATTGTATCAAGTTATAAACGTAGGCCTACATGAAAGTTTTATGTAAAGGTACAAATACAGAAACGTGATTTATAATTAAACGTTACCAGGTGTCTAGGAAAGTGTCCATCATACCCCATAATGGCCATAAATTAAGATATTTGTTTCCTGCCAAGTTCTGTAACGTTATGAGTAATATTTTGATTTTTCTTCTAGTGTATCCCTCTTTTCCTAAATACTCAAAATTCATTCAAACAAAAAACATGTCTCAGATGGAAAGAAATAATATTCCCGTAACGTGTTCTTGGTTGAGATGTCTAAAGATCGGGCTCATATATATTTTAACTTCATGCACAAAGTAAACGCAATATTCCTTATAGGAGTTCAATTTTCTCCACAGTCGCAGATTCCTGCACACAGGGA